AGAGTTAAGAAAACATGTGAACAAATAAAGGCAATTAATAGTTAATTTATTATTATTATTATTAAGTAGGAAGATCTACTATGTGCGATGTTGTGCAATATGAAGATATTAAATTTAGCATTCAATGACATGATTCACTACTTACCCAAACGCGTAATAAATATCAAAACATAGTAATTTCAACCACAGAAAAGTAGCAAATTCTCCATAGAGCAACAAAAAACCTGAAACACACAGATTGTTTAAGTTAGTACGACATAAGTTATAACAGCTTTAATGAATGATTAGCTTATTTTTCGTAACGTTCCAATGATGAAACATGGTTTGCAATATAAAGGATGGATTGTTTAATTGTACCAGTTATATAGCTTTAAAAACTTGTACTAAAATTAAGTTTATTGGATTTATGAAGTAATACATTTTAAAATGACTGTGAAAAACTATGAAAACGTGCGAAACTTTTATCACTAATTTAATGAAAAAAAATTGTTGTTAAAAAGTTCTGTTTGGTCCAAAACCTAAAATTTAATCATCATGTAAAGATTTCTTTTTTGCAGCCGCATGCGAGGTATAGCAGAAAATATGAATTTTGCTCAAGAATATCGTATATCGAAGTACCTTTAATTCTGATAATATCGAAAATTGTTATTAAGAAAATATCTAATTGCAATTATCTATCACAAACATCAAGTTTTGTCATTTTTAATTATTTCTTGATCCTCGCTCGAACCCAGCGGTGAAAAGTATAAGGTTTTGAAAAAAAGGCTTTGAAAACAAAACAGCTGACAGTCAGTGACAAAGCTAAGCTGTCAACGTCGGTGGCGAAAGGTTTTACTTTCCACACGGGATGAATAAATTTTGAAATGGATGAAAGTGATGCTTAAAAGTACGTACTTTCCTGGTGGAAAGTACGCCTCGTTCGTCAACTTCAAGCAGTGGCAGAACTTCGTCTTTCGTCACTTGTACCGTAATATACAATTTTAAGTTGGTCTTTTCAATTAACTTTTATTAATTTTCATAAGGGTGGTCGTTATTTGCGGGACAATAATAGAAAACTTATTATACAAACGGTCCCAGGGAGTTTTTCCTATATTTTTATGTGCCTCAGATGTCGTCGCCGAAAAATTCAGATTGTCACTTTTCATAATAAATTGTTTGTTTAATTGTCTAATAATCTTCACTTAATCGGTTTGTTATATGTGCGAGCTAATTTGAATAAGTTAATACAGGTCAACAGATAGAAAATTTCCCAAAAACCAAACCAGTAAAAATACTTAATTCCATCACCAAAACCGCTTGACGAAAAGCTTAATATTAAAGCAAGTAATTGGGCGATCGTTCAACTTACCAAATATGTGGCAAACAGTAATATCTTCTTTCACTTTCTCCATATAGAAAGTGCTATAAATCAATATTAAAAACATCACGAACAAACATACGCAGAAACTAACCAAAGTCTTGCCAAATAGTTTTTTTGTTTCTCCCGAACACACATAAAAAATGATCGTTAGCAAAAGAAAAATGCTTGAAATTATCATCACGTATCCATTAATAACATACTTTTCTTCGATCTCCGTTTCGGGAAATATTCTGAAAGTCACAAATACAAACCTTTTAAAACTTCAAACGATCGAAGATTTTATTATTTGCTTGTGTGTGAATGGCTAAATTGGAAAAACTTTCAATCAAAATATGAATGGAGAATAATACTAATTTTAAGTAAAGAACATGTGACTACGTTACTTTTGAATGATGAGATCAAACTTAAGTGGTTGCTTTGCTTAAATTACAACAAGGAAGGTTATTAATTAATTAAAAGCTTTCCATTGCATTGAAATTATTTTTATAGCCAAATTCTAATCGCAAAATTAAAAAAAAATTAACTATACCTGAAAAGTCGATGTCCAAAATTGACTCCATCTTTCATGGCAAATTCTATACAGTATGTTTGTTCTGTTGCTTCATAAATTTGATTTCCGATTATTTCATCTACACCGTGGAAAATGCCTTTGGAATCTAAATGGTACGTCCACTCCATTGGCTGCAAATAAATTTGACCCATGTAGCCATGCACAATTGCGACATCATCTGAAAAGTGCAAAAGAATCTGCTATAATCAGTGCTTCCATAATCCTAACAAAAAATACGTGATTTATATTTCTTTTGTATTTCCTTAGAAGAGACAGTAGCTATAAACAATTTACAACAGACATAAAATTAATAAAGTAATCAACGGCTACTTTTGGATTAATATTTCAAAATCGAGACTGTAATAAATTTAGAAGAATGTTTAGGACTACTCGCATGGAATTTGACATGATTTTTCAAATATTTACAACATTTGCTGCGTTTTGAAGATTACCAAGCTAAGCCAATAAATACTCCAGACTTTTCATTGATTCTCTAATTGCATAACATTCATGCAGGTTGAGTGGGTTAGTAGATAAACTAATTTCAGGTTTGGAAAATTACGGAATTGTCACTAACATAATTGTTCCAATTTACTTTAATAACCGATCATTTTTAAAACATTCGACTCAGTCCACGACAAGGGCTTGATGTTCGCGTTTATTTATGTTACCCATTCGAAAACTTGCCTAATCTTCTGGGTGTCAAGGAGATTATCTTCCATTCGTTATTTCCGTACTTCTTAAGCGGCTCCGATTACATTTAGGAGATTGGTCGTATTAGCTACAAGTAATTTTCCAACTATCCAATTTTCCGCTTCTTTCGGTTAGCCATATCTATTTATTTACGACTTGTACTTATTTTTTATAAAAGAGGTGGCTGTTTTCGCATTTTGCATTGGTCTAACCGGTTTTAAGTTCCAGTTTCTTGACCGATATCGAGTAATTGCAAGATGGTTGATTTTCTTAGAAATTCAGCCTACTCAGACCAATCTTGCAACCAGTTTTAGTTATTTTTGATCAACAAACAATCCCAGTAAGTAATAATAGATGATACTTATAAACCGTATAAAAATATTTTAATAACATTTTCTAGTTTTAGCCAAAATTTTAAACAAAACACATACCTATATCCTCATTCATTACAATTATATTTATGTACTGTTTTGTCTTATCATAACCACTTCTTTTAGTTCTTAAATATCGACTGTCAGCGAAACAAAATTAAATACTGAACCATAACTGTATTTAATAAATCACCTATTAACTGTTAACTATGCGCTATTAATTTTATTTCAACTACTTTTATGCCAGTATTAATCACGTTTTAGTCAATATTTGCAAATTACAAATAAACATTACCTTTGAAAAGAAAGATCATGCTGTTTCCATTTCACTTAAAGTACACCGTATTTTACCACAACTAACAAACAATAATAAAGTCTATATTTAAAATTCTTAGATATAAGTAACTTGACCACCACTGATCCGGAAATAACAAGTACCTATGGATTTTAATATATTCTGTGAGTCTAACAATATCAGTTAAATGGTTCATCAATTACCTTTAATTTGACGCCAATAACGTTACCCCTTATCCTGAAGTTTTGTATAATACGATTTTTCCCTCCTGTAAGATAAGGACTTATAAGAGACTTATATTTAAGCTTTAATTATCCCATATGCTAAATTTCAACCCTGAAGGGGGAAATAAAATTTCCAAACCCTTGTAATTGACTTTTACCACAAATAACAATGAACCAATCTCCAATATTTTCCAAATTTAAAAATTTCCATATTCGACAAAAATCTTGTTAGAAAAGAGTATATAGAAATTGCATTCTTGTGTGTAATATCTATACTACCATAAACGTTTCTATATTTGATTCAAAATTGAGTTATCGCCTACAATTTTCAATTATGTGCACTTAAAGCTTTGTATTACTACTATTCGTTGACGTAATATACAGGGTGTTTGGTAAGTAGATGAATTTCCTACAGAGAGTGATAGTCCAAGTCATTTTGGATATATTTCATTAATACACCATGTTCCGAAAACGCTTAGTTTCCGATGGGATTCCGCCTGTTTGGGGCCTCCCTTGGGGCTCTTGTCAGGTTAGAGTTTATTATATTTTTAATATTATTTATATTTCGATAAATCGTTTTTGAATATTTGTATTTTGCTCCCAAATATCAGCAGTCTTTGTCATGGTTTCGCCTGGCAACGCAGTGGTTGCCCTACCTTTGTGGCCCACAGTTTTGGATGGGAGGGATCGAAAGATCGATCCATCAACGGAGCACCCACAAAAGGAATCAAGTTCCGACGATCGCAAGGAGTAGTCGAACGGTTCCTCAACGATCGTCACAGTTTGACCATCGAGTCGCCATTTTGTTGTAGATTTTTCCATCTGCTGCAATTCTCCTAGTACGATGATCAACATCAACATCCTGGTTCCCGACTGGGGATTATAATTACTGAAATTGTCGATTGAATGGCCAGGAACAGTCTGGATGAAGCTGGAAATTGAGCATTGGTAGCACAAGGTGTCGGCGATCTTGTAGACGCGGAGCTGGTTTTTGGGGAGCGCATAGAGCCATTTATTAGATCGGATTATACTGTATAACCATTCAGATTTTCACTTAACGTATGTTTAGTTCTTTCATTTATTATTTGTATTAGCGTCGATTTTTTGAGTATTCCTGGTAGATCAAATGGTTAGCAGACGGTAGCTTGTGGTCATCGAGCCACGTGTTTCTTATTAGCTTTTTTGTAATCATAAATTATATAGATCGGGTCTTAGGCAGGTATTTTGGCAGCTAACCACCGCTGAGCGTTCTAGCCTTGGTGCGAAAGCTAGTGGCGCTTCAACGAATCCACCCTTCGGGCTTTGCACACGACCACCCAAAATACCCTCTTAAGGGAAGATGAAAGATTTGTTGATTGAAAGAGTATATAAAGATGCGCAACCTTATGGAATAAAATGTGGCCAAAAAAGTGCACAGCACGGGGATGCACAGCAAATCGTAGATGAGACGGGCGGTTCAGTCGAATCTTGATGCTGTAACCATGTGGCTCGAATGAACGGTCACTTGTTGCAGCTCTATTCTGGTCGAGAATGGCAGACAATATAAAAAAATGTGCCTGTGTATATGTTGGTTGCTTCAACAAAAAACAAAATAGAAACAATAAGAATTAATAAGATTATAAAATAGAATTAATAAGATTAATAATAACGCCAAGCAGGCGTTGTCCAAATATCCATGTTTTGCCAATACCTATCGAAGGGTCAGGAAGTCAGGAAAAATACAAGGCAGACAAATTCACGTAGGAGCTCCAGCACGTCACGGCACTTATGGCGAAGAAGCCATTCTTCAAGAGGCAATTGAGCAAAAAGGAACTACATCTCTATCATTATACACCGGTTTAAGACTTGCTTGAACAAGATCCTTTAAGGAGGATGGGCTTCTGTCGATTTATGTTAAACGCCGATATGACGGATGACCTCCATATCGATGACCTCATGACATCAGGATGATGGTGTTTACCGATGAATCAAATTTTAATCTGGAGGGAATTACCAACAACCATAATGCTCATTACTGAGCCATGGAGAATCCCCGTTTAACATCGAACAGTAATTACGAAAGGTGGTTCAGTGCTAATGTTTGGTGTGGTGTAATAAACGATCACATAATCAGCCACAGTTTTCCGCCGGACATCTTAAAGGGGCAAAAATACGAATACTTTCTTATTAATCACCTTCCACCTGACTCCCTTGATCACCGTTTTCCTAATTGATGAATGAGGAGAGGAGGCCCCATATCATGGCCTGCCAGATGCCCAGATCTAACTCAGTTAGACTTTCACGTATTGGGCAGAATGAAAGAGTTTATGCAGCAGAAATACAGACAAGAGAGGAATTAAGAGATCTCATTACAGATGCCGCTATCATACTTACAGACAAACATACATTTTCGGCCAGGGAAACCCGGACAGAAATAAGAAAGCGGGCACATGCATGCGTTAGAAGAAGGGGATTTCATTTTGAACAAGAACTTAAGTATTTACTGTTTAGAATTAAAATCAAGATATGCTTTATTGATTGAATGAATTAATGAATAACATGGTTTTCTTGCTTGGTTGGTGTTGGATTCAACACTAAGAATTAGTTCAATTTTATGTGACAGGTAAAGTAATCTAATATGTAAAAACAAATAAAGAGACTGTAAGACCGATGTCAACTACGACTAAAAATAATTTTTTGTAATAAAATTTGTTGCGACGCACCTTTAACGCACCTTTAATAAAGAAAAGAAAATTGACAAGAGCCGTCAACAAACAAGAATGTGAATTTATGTTTAAAAATAATATCACAAAATATACCTAATATACAGTCCAAAACAAAATTTATACAATCTACGTGCACAATTTTTGCTGTTTTCATGCTAAACCCTACTTACTTACAAATTGATTAAGCTATGCAATAAATAGATTTTAATATTTTTATTCAAAAAGAGACTTTCTCTTCCAAATTGAACAGAAACATGGAAAATAATATTTATTTTTTGAAAAATAAACGCGTGCCTGTGTCCCTGTATTATTAATATTTATTATTAAATGATCATTTAGTTTTAAAGTAATATGAAATGTTTAATGGTGCTTTAAAATAAAAATCGCTAAAAAATAGCTTAGTACCATTTTCTTTCAAATCTCTCTTGATCAACTATTCTGGTGGTGAGCATTTATTGGAATGTTTCGTATCTATATATTCTCAATATTAGTCTAGCTGATAAATGGCATGAATCAAACGCGGAAACGGCTTTTCTTGTTGAAATTAGACAAAAGTCACTACATTTATCTCATTTTCCTCCGTAATTATATCCTTTTCTGTGACGTATTACAGCGTATGATACTTTTTGCTGCTGAAACAAATAATACATGTCTAGATAGTTAATGATTGTATGTATAACCATAAGTATGAGAGTCAGCAGCACATTTAGAACACATAATCGCGGTTATGTAAATAAATTGTTTGCTTCTGGTTAATGTTCTATTCATTTGAAAACCTCTAATGAATAATAAATTCTTCCTATCTCACAGATGTTTCCTATTTTAAAATATCTTGTTAAAAGAACGTTAATTAAAGTTGTGCAAAAAAGTTTTTCTATATTTAATAAATGTTATGTTATATCAGTAGAAATTTTCGGTGAGTGTCTGACTAACCAATAACTAAATAATAAACTAGTTATTCACTAAGGCATATTACAAAAGTGTAGCAAAAACTTACGAAAATGTTCTGTAAATAACGGAGAAAAGTAAATTTAGCGGAATTTCAATTTATTTTATTCAATTTCAATTTCAATTTGGAAAAGTGTAAGTCAAAAAAATCGACATGTAATGCAATTTATCTATGAATAATGACTATACTATATAAAATTATTATATAAAATACGTATAAAACTAGTATCAGCACGTATGTATAGAATCTACGAATAATAAGCGACAAGTTACAAGAAAAATTAGTCTGAAATGTTAGATGCCCATTTTTCAACAGATCAAAAAAATCAGAGCTGCAGATTTTTAAGATGCTTCTTCTTCTTGTTCTTCGTGTAAAGAACAAATGCCTGTCAATTCTGTCATCAGCCTTCCTGTGATCCAGATGTCGAGCTTTTATACCAGCGTTTTGGGGACCTACAAACTAGGAGCCTTGTTTCTGGTTTTTTGTRTTTTGTCCCACTTTGGAATTCTGATACTGTTACGGCTTTTCTGATCTGGTTGTCCACCTCATTCAGATAGATGAAATTCATCACCTGATGTATAATGACTCACGACTAACTCACTCACGACTAACTCCTCACTCACSAMTAACTTSCATCAGATCGGATRCCATATTGCCATAGATTGTGCTTTTTCGATCAAAATTTGCATACTAAGCYTMTRTGCTGTTGAATCTGTGGAGAARGTGTTGCAGGTCATTCTCCGCCTCTTCACTCTCTGCCGTCAAGACAGCGTCGTCTGCGTAACACAGTATTCTCRGGCGGCTGCTGTTCAYCCTTAATCCTGCATCGACTTCGTTCACACTTTCAATTATTTGATCCATTATGATGTTTAAAAGGCATRGGCTAAAACTATCTCCCTGTCWAATGCCGGATGAGACTTTAGGTCCCCCCTTATTAGACCACATTATGTTCTTGTTACTGTGTTATTGTTTATTTTGGTTTTAYTTGGCTTTATTAGGATTATGTGGCACTTATTAACATCTTTTTGATTCAGTCGKTCGATTATATYCTCAAGCTGTACATTGTCAAATGCTTGCTTTAGATCTACAAAGCATGTRTACATTGKTTTATTGAATCCAATGRATTTCTCTATCAATTGGCGTAATATAAATCTGTTTGTTCTATTTTTCCGAATAAATTTACTAATTCTTTTCCGATTTTTTGACGTCCGCACTTAATGTTTAAGATTATTTGCATTAAATGAATACTTAWTGTACCTCAAAATAAATGCTAAAGATTCCATAWTTTTTTCTTACATCAAAAGTTCTAAAATTACTGATCAATAAAGTAGATTATTATTACGATKAGCTTTAAATTTAATTAGTTAAAAGTGCCTGGATTTAGAAACGATATTTTTTTGAGAWAMAAACGTACAGGTTATCCWTTTTATGCTTGSGAAAGTAAAGTAAARAAACACACAAACACATTCAGATGGAGACGAAAATTTTAATTCAAGATAAAGATTAAGCCTTGCCATTATACGTGAGAAACAATATTATTTAAATGTCCTACACGGGACCTCCTRCAAGCCTCAATCTTTTTGAGGTRATTTTGAATGACATTTCGGCACATTACCGTAATATATCGGTCATAACTTCACGGATAATGGCTCAAGAGTTTGAGGATTGATGRCGTTAACACGATCTTTCGCATAGCCCCACAAWAAGAAATCTAAMKGTGTTAAGTCGCAGGATCTTGCGGGCCAATTGATATCACTCAATCTCGAAATTACGCGTCTTGGAAATTTCTCTTGCAATAGGGCTCTAACTGGCAGTGTTGTGTGACTCGTTGCCCCATCCTCAMGTCTTCCAGATCATAATCTTCAATTTMTCTCCAAAARTAATCGGTTAACATGCGTCCATAGCGCTCAGAATTAACTAATTAACTGTAATGGCACTTCTTTGATCGTTTTCGAAAAATACGGGCCAATAACAGCACCGGACCATAATGCACACCATATGGTCACTTTTTCAGGATGCAAAGGCCTTCCTGCGATCACCTGAGGATTTTGAGAGCCCCATACGGCTGTTCTCTTTATTCMCGTAACCACMGAGCGAAAAATGAGCCTCATCGYTGAAGCAAATTCGGTTCGGAAAAATCATCAACGTCTTGTTGTTGAATCACCCAATTTGCGTATGTTCTGCGTTGCCCATGGCSTTGAGGCTTTTAGTATTAAGTTCTTGAGTCAGTTRGRCTTTTGTACCRATGAAGGTTCAAATTCAATTGCAAAATTCGCCACAAYGAGCCGTATTRTTGAGCACRTCGGGGAATCGACGAATTCGGGTCTTCCTCCACACTTTGAGCAACAGCAGCGATATTTTCAGWTGAACGAATGTTGTGATGATGCACAGGCCTTGCAAWATCAGTAATCAATCTAGTTTCTTCAAATTTTTCCACTGTGTTCGAAATTGTTTYYTGTACYRAWWTGTCTTCCACTCTCGAAGAACATTCAATAATTATAGAAAAATCGTATTAACTAACATCAAAATATGCGCATTTACGGAATGTTATGTGAGATTTGAATGCCCTTTCTATTTTACATTATATTGTTATTAAATATATATCTAAAGACACAAGCAAACATAATATAATTTACTAATTATGCGATTAATTTATAACCGATTAATTCCGATAATTACGTTAATTATTCAAATGCTGAATTCGGTGATGTGCGAAAATAATTTTCGTATTAGCATATCTGACTTTGATTGAAGAATTGCAGAGAGTTAAAACAATGGTATCCATGGTAATCTGAGGGAATTTAGGAAATTAGTAGCTTTGTAGCTTATAATAGATAACAATGAACAAAACTGCCATTATCAATATGATTTTTTTTAACAGTCGGCTGCTTACTTTTTTAATAACGGTATTTAAGTAAACATCCTTGAAGATGAGCTATTGTTGCCTGATAGATGTTGCAAGAACAATTTTCTTGAAAAACGCTCATTTGCAAGAACTGAAATAAATACATTTGCGTTTCCAAGCACGGTTTGTTTGGATTCGTACAAAACAATAAATTCAAATTTTGGGGCAATTGACTTTACGTTAAGGGTAATTCAAGTTGTAAATAGTTAGTGACACTTTGAAAATTAATCTAAAAAATTATTTGTAAAAGCATACCAAATTTAAAAGTAATCGGTCAAAAATTGAATACTTAAATAGCATGTCGCACTTAAAGACCTCGAAACTTAGTAATTTTCAGCACATCGAAGAACTAAATTTAATAGATGAAATTGGGAATCTTCTTGTTCATGTCCTCGCAGAATTAACATCCTAATTATTTGCGCGTGTTTTTTTTAGAAGCTTGAAGTAACTTAGTTTGATAGCAACTCATCAAAAGAAATAATAATCTAAATTAGAAAGAAGCTTATAAAAATCTTAAAGTAGAGTTTCGAATAGAATAATATGTACCCACTTTTCAGTCAATTATCTAAGCAAACTTACCGTTACGCTGTATAGACTCTGAAAAATTCAAATCGAGGCCATGAATAAACGTTGGATGACAATGAGATCCATTCACAAAGCTGAAACCATCCGGACAACACTTGTGGACACATTGTGCAAATTTGCATATTTGGAAATCGCTTGTGCATATTCGAACGAGTTCAGTCCCATCCTCAGTTCTATCAGTACAGTAATCCTCAACTGAAATATTGCCCAAGTTGGAGGTTGAGGTATGACTCTTTATATCCTGAATAATTTTGCAGTCTGGTAGACCGATGCGAACATATCTGGAACTAATGAAATTTTCAATTTCGAATGAAGTTGAATAATTGTAAGATTTATAGATGATTGTTTTCACTGTCGATGCTGTTTGTTTTTCATATTGGATTAATGAATTCTAAAAGTATTTCTCAGGTCTGAGAATGATAAATTTTTGAATAGGCAAATTCAACGTATCAACTTTAATAAGAATTTGTTTCATTTGTGATTACGTCAGCATTCCGTGATTAAGTCAGCATATTAAAAATACTTAGCTTTAATTACTTCTTTAAAATAGTATGTTTAATTTCGGGAAAATTAAATATTTTTTTTCGGAGAGCAATTGATTGGCAAATTGTGTTAGAAATCTGAATTCTATGAAATTTACTTTCACTACGCACAGTACTTTTTCAGACATTTTTCTCATACTTATTTTGCATCCATTTTTGTGATTCTATTGTAAGATTGCTATAATTTGGTTTACTGTACTAAACACAGACAGTATGTTTGTGTTTAATAAAGGACCATAAAAAATGGACTCTTAAAATATTAAGTAAATCCGATCATGAACAGGTGAGAAGAATTTGTAGTGTTTACTAAAATTTATGAAAATGTCAATACTTTTGTTCAGTTTTCTTACCTTTCTTCAGTTTGCTGATATAAATCAACAGAATTTTACAGATTTGACTTAGATTACTTTTATTTTATTCAAATTATTCAAATTAATCAGGTATGAAGAAACAAGTACAAATGTAAGAGGACCAGGTAGTTAACATCCTTGCGGTTCAAATTTGAAACAATCGATCTCAAAAATTGAGGTACAAGTGCGCATAAATTACCTAGGTTCCTGTTGGGATTTTTAATATACTTATAGTAAGTAAGCAAATTTTCCTTAGCGAAGATTAATTTCTGAAGCAACTAAGAATGCATTGTCAGTTCTTTTGCCACTTACGTATGTAAAGACGGTGTAACCCGTATTTCCCTTTTTGCCTATGCCCCGAAATGTATCAAAAACCTCCAAGACTCTGTTTTTTGCCCCCGGGTTTGAAAAAACAATATTTTTTTGTAAATTTCGGTAAAGGTCGCCCACAAGATAAATGGATCTCATAACCGGTCTAACCGGCAAAAACCCAAACATTCAAGATGAAGAAAGCCAGCACACAAAACAAATCGTGAACTGATGATGCTCGAAACCGAGAAAACGACTAAGAAAAATATTTTGAAATGTTGCTTAGCTGGAGAAATTAATTTTCAGATTTTTCAAACACCGTGTGGATTCAATACATATCATTTATACTACTAGAAATTAAAAAAATACACTATTATGTACATGTAGATGAAGTAGAGTACTGGATATTTCCTTTAAATTTTTTGTACATACACATATCCATACAAGCTAAAAAAATTGAACGTCTTCTGTGTAACTTTTATCCGAAGTTATATTTTTAAGCAGTTTAAAAATTCGGAAGTAATATCGATTCAGAAGTACTCTACTAAACTTATAATTTAACCCAAAGAAGCATAACGCATTTGAATTACAAAATGATTTGAAATTTTTGAGTGATCGTGGAACTTAAGATAAATTCCTATTTAAACCATTCGCACACCTTTTCTCATTCCGCAAAAATATGTTGCTCTATACAAATCCTTTTCCGAAAAGTGTTTATAAATGTTCAAATTGGCATTATGTTTCTTTCTTCTCTTGTGAACAACGGATAAGTAAATAATTTAAAAAAATACTTATCGGGTTTCTATTTTTTTAAGACTAACTGCACTAGTTGTTTTAGATGTTTGCGAACATTTTATTTCCGATGTTATTATTTTTTCAAATGCGTATGAACTCAGAAAATAGAATATACATTCCATAAACATCTCTCTGCATGTGTTGAAATAACCAAAACAGTTGCTTCAAAGTAATCATCGGATTTCAACTTCAGCTCAAAACAAATTGTTTATAGTCAGCTATTTTGTGATCATGAAAATTGAGGCAAATAGTCTTTGCTCAAAGTAAATTACCTGTAACACGATGTAGAGATTAAGAATAAATTTAAATTTGTATTATTTTTTATATCAAAAGAATACCTGCGTATTAATTATTAGATATACATCAATTATTAAAATGGATTAATGCTTTAGTAAAAGTTTTAGATTTACTATTTACAATACAGGGTGTCCCGAAATTAGGTGGCCAAACTGAAACAGTGAAATCTGCTCTCAAAAATTATATTAATTTTTCAAATGAACATGTGTCGAAAAATGCTCCCTAACGGAGCTACGCATTCTTGACGAGGGGCCCAGTAGTAGGTTTTTTTGCAAATTATTTCTGAACGGTTGAACTTCAAAACGTAAATTTTTGGAACTGTATTAATTTTGATACGCTTTTGATATTACGCGATTTTGATACTCTGGATCTGAAATTAAATCTGTCAGAATTTCATCATGGACGTATCATTTGGGGGGTAGAGGTACTAAAAAAGCTCTAAGTTTTTTCTGAGACTATGAATCATTCTTTTTTCTGCAAATTGTGAAAATTTTACGAAGAAAAGGTACTCTTAATTTACTTCGCTCAGACGCACCATTTCCCAACTAAATTACTTTAAAAATATTATTGCTATCCAAACACATTTTCTATTTTAAGTTGATATTATTGCAGATTATTTTTATTTACGCAGTCAGGAACATAAATCACAATAAAGTTAAAATTATTATCGACACTAATTTCCTAGAGTAAATATTCAAACAAATTTCCATTTTCTTGAATGCACACTCTGGACCTTTTCCTAGTATGTTGGGTGGCAAGGAGAATTTCAAAAGGGGTTCGTTCTATTTGATTTCCGGCCGATTTTAATCCCCTTAGAAGCTTTTCTGGGCTATCTACTTCTGTGGCATAAATAATATTGGACATATTAACAGGCAGATAATAATCCAAAGCATTTATATCAGGCGGTCGAGCTGGCCAGTTTACTGGGCCACCTCGACCTGCTTCGTGGGAAATGAAAATGTTGGTTTAGCCAATTTTTCACAGGTTGGTCAAAGTGGGCCGGAAGAACAATTCTTGTAGATCGTGATGTAGAAAATTTAAATAATTATGGTTATTTAACCCATTTGGGAAAATAATCGGTCCTATCAAGATATCCCCTTTCACACCTGCCCATACATTGAAAATGTCCTCTTTCAATGTATGGGCAGATAATGGAAGTTTGCCTTTCGAAAAACTCTCGAATTCTCGAGGCTCCAAAAATGAGTATTATCCTCATCCGACCATAAAAAAATATGTTGCTGGCTTAGAATCCAACAGCAAAATTCTGTACGTGCTGGAAAATCGTTGGCTCTTAAATAATGTACCCTTTTATAATGGAAAGGATGGGATGAAAGGATTTTGAGTCATTATTCCGATATGTTTTAAATTCAATCATGTGTTGTATGTATTCGTGCAATATTTTATTTGTTTTATCCTTTTAATAACCAAAAAATTGCACAAATACATTCACTAGTTTTTTCATACTCGATAAATGTGAAAATGCTTACAATAGATTTAGGGATATTGGTAATATTTAACTCAATTTAAAAAAACAGTGATATTTTTAAAGTAATTTAGTCGGCAAACGGTGTGTCTGAGCGAAGTAAATTAAGAGTAACTTTTCTTCGTAAAACACTTCAGATTTCCATAGTTTGTAAAAAAAAGATTGATTTATAGTATCAGAAAAAAGTTAGAGCTTTTTTTGTAATACCCCTCCAAATTGTACGTCTATGATGAAATTTTGAGTTTTAATTTCATATCTAGATTCAGCATATCAAAATTACTAAAGCTCCTAAAACTTACGTTTTCAAGTTAAACCGTTAAGAAAATTTGCAAAAAACCCTACTACTGGCCCCTTTTCAAGAACGCGTAGCTCCGTAAAGGAGCATTTTTCGATACATGTTCATTTAAAAAATTAATATTATTTTTGAGAGCAGATTTCACTGTTTCAGTTTGGCCACCTAATTTCGGGACACCCTGTATACTAAAGAAGTATTAGTTTAGAAAACTGAATAGTATAAGCGTAAAAATTTATAAATTATATAAATTCGCACAAGCCTAAAAATCAAGTTGACGCTTATCAGCTATAAAGTTCAACTGATACTAAAGTATTTTATAGAGGTCACGACAATATTTATTAATAGTCAAGTCTCAAATATTATTGCATAAAATATAAAAAACTGAATTTTCAATACTAACCTGGTCAAATTTTTCGCATAGAGCAGGTTTTCTTCACATGAATGGTACACTGTATTATACACAAACCCCAGTGGGCAACACTTGCGATTTAACTTCGGGTCTAGTTTCCGAGAAAGAGCAAATAACTTTCTAAATAGATTCAAGGAAGTTTTCTCAAATGCATAAAAATCTCCGCCGAAAGTATCTACACAAAAGGATTCACTAATCTTCGATAGTGCCGTTTCGTTTGTATTGTTGAAACGATTAAGATTACACATGTACAAAAAGTTTTCCGACACCATTCTGCCATCTTCGGCACAACATTTCAAAAATACGTTTTCAGCCCTTTGGCCCGCCACATAGAATAAAATAAATCCCGACAAGAATAGTGATATTAACATGCTTCTTATTCTGGAGCCGATTTTGAGTTACTGTGAGAATCTGGAAAGCAAGCGAACAACTGTATACAAAAGAAATATTTTCGTAGTGATTCTGATAAAAGAAAACACTTAATATAAGTCTGACGCCAGTTGGTAAGACTTCGTGTGATGTAGCTAACAGTTTGGATAATAAAAATAATACTAGCAAGTTCCTTTATGCATTAGGCTATTACAGAAAGTACTTTAAGGAATTGGGATCAATTATAGCAATGATATTATCCACAGGTGGTATTTATTGCAATTCGATATTTTCAGTTATGGCAAATTCGGGCAGAAAAGTGTGGTTCGTAATTACACCACCTTCCGTTACATACGTATAGTGTTGTCGCTGGTATCAGAAAATTTGATTCACTTATACAAGGTGTTCCGTAATGGAGTGGACGGTTCCGATTTCAAAATCCAAAGAATAAAAGACTTAGTCAAATATGTCTTAGATGTTGAACTGAGTTCAAACTCCTGTATGAATATAAAAATTATTACGTAATGAATTACAGAGATAAATAATCCATAAGGGAGTAGTTTTGATAATTTTACATTTCAGCATAAAATATTTKAAACTGAAATTTAGYRTKAATGAATCAGCAAAAAAAGCTATGGAAAAAGTTGCTTAATYATTTAGGGTGGTTACTGTATTTCTACTGYAAACCCTAACTAGGTTTGGATTTTATAATAGCGATTTAATCCCTAKATGTTTTGCCCTTGAAGTATCTTAAAAGAGTTTCTCTTTCATATTATAACCAGTTCATATTTTAAGAACYTATTTTATTAACTTATTAAACTACTAATAAAAATAAAAAAACTAATCGACTCAATTGAAAATAGCTTATCAGTGAAAAACAACTGTAATATATTTTAGTAAAGTAACCAGTTTAACAAATGCGTTATTCAAAATGTTGATCTGGATTCCCATTAAAAACTTGTACTATAAATTAACCAAACACCAGATTAGATTTTGCCAAAACCCTCATTTCAACTTTTCGCATAACTCCATTTGAAATTGTACAAATAATGGAATACATTTGAAATTAAAATAGGAATATTAAAGTCCTGTGTTAAGAAAATAAACAAAAATTGGTATTTATTATAAACCACCCTCAGTAGCGCGAAAAATATTGACTACGACTATTTTTTTATTATTTTTAACATATTTCTGATTTAACGTCAACTAGTTATATTTTAATAAATTAAACATTAAATAAAATTTAATAGGTACCTTGGCAAAGTTCATTATTTTGTGATCCTCTATGTAGTGATCATTTATCTTGTGTTTCACACGGTCATCACAAGTTACTATCCTAAGTCCAATAAAACTATAGTATAAAAAACCACAAGCAATAGCAAGAGTTTAGCTCAAAAAAATACAGCAAATTCTTCAAGGGCCGTTTTTTCGGTTATAAGCCTTTAATTGCAATATTTGTAAGTGAGTACTCGATTTATTACTTATACGACTCATTATGTCAGAAATAATTAATTAATTTCATTAATTTCACTTTACAGTAACTCATATCAATCAATTATACGTTTTCTGGAAACGTTCCTGAAAACAGCACATGGATGCTTCATTATCATCATCATCCTCAGCCTATCGCCGTCCTTTTCTGGACATAGGCCTCTCCTATTGGTCGCCATTTACTTCTGTCGGTCGTCTGACTCATGCATTGGGTAGCTGCCAGTCTCTGGATATCATCTTTCCACCTCGTTCTTGGACGTTCTGGGTTCCTTTTACTTGTTCTGGACCTTCACTCAGTGGCCTTCCTCGTCCATCTGTTATCACCTGCCCTCATCCAACCTGACCAGCCAATTTCCATTTTAGCCTCGTAACCCGTTCTGGGACGACTATCACTTTCGTATTTTGTCCGATCCGTTCGTTCGTCTTTTGGTATTGGAGTAGTATTCCTAACATTTTCCTCTCCATTTTTCTTTGAGCAATCCTTAAACGATCCATGGTCCCCTCATTAAGCCTCCATGTTTCTGCGGCGTACGTTAAGGTCGGGAGGACACATTGGGACATCACTATGTTTTCCATATGCTGCCATTCAAAGAGAATTCTTCTGGAGTTCTCCGCTCTCTGGCTGTCCTTGTTGAAAGATATTCTTTGTCCGAGGAACAAGTACTCGTCCCCGATATTCATTTTACCTGTTGTCAAGGTCAACATCTACGACATTAATCGAATTCGACATTACTTTTGATTTTGCTGCGTTCATTTGTAGGCCGTAGCTTTTTACGGCGCTGTTTAACTCCTGTAGCATGGTCTTTGAAAAATTAAAGTGGGGGGTACAGTACGAAAACCGACTTGTTCTACTGGCGGAAATTTCTCAAGCTTGCTGGTAACTATGTTCGCTATCGTTCTTGTCAGGAGCTTGTAGGAGCTTGTAGGTATGAGCGTATCATGGGTATGAGCAGTCAGACCGGATGCAGTCTTTAATTGCTTCCTTGTCTCCTCCTAAATTATCAAAAATGGGCGTTTCCATTCGAAAAAATTGATTTTGGGCGGTTTTCTCAGCGTCATATTGCAACTTATTGTTTTAACACTTTGTATTAATAGTGATCAAAATTTTGTCGAAATTCTATTAAAGTAAGTCCTTTTCAGCGACAAATGCGACTCAAATTAAGTAGCACAAATTCCCTTATAGGAAAAATGAATGATTATTATTCGAGTGACTGCAACTGTAATTTTTTACATAAAGTTTCAAATATATCAAAAACGAATGGACTTATATAGGATAGGTATAGGATGTTATCCATGAAATATAATATATTTTGGAGAATTTAAAAATGTCATAATATGCAGGGTGGTTTTTTAGTGCGATAGAGTCCATTATTTCCTATGTCATAAACAACAAAGGAAAAACTGGATAACAGATGCTATTATAAAATCATGTCCTATTAAAGAATTTCTGTATCATTAATGGCAAAAATATTGTACAAATGAAGAACTAAAAAAGCAATACAGACAATATAGCAAAATACCAGACAAGGTATTATTGGATGCTAAGATTATATATGACAGCAAACAAATTGAAAATAATTTGAACAATCCTAGAAAACTCTGGGGAATTACTAATGAAAAAATTGGAAAAAAAGGAATAATATCAATTACTTACACACAGGGTGTTTTTTTAGTGCGAGACAGTCCATTGTTTCCGTTGGTGTTGAATTTTCGAAAAATAGTTTCATATCAAAGTTGTTAACGCACAAAATGCGCACATTTTAAAAATATCTTATATGATACAGAGTGTCTCAGAAAAGCGAGGCAAGATGAAAGTATATTTTTTTAAATAGAACTACCAATTTTTCATTAGCTCATGGAATGCAGCTTGCAACGCTGTATATGCACAATAAATTGTTTTTTTTTCTTACTCGCGACGTTGGCAGATTATCGCCATTTTAGTAAAATTTTGCTTAAAAACATGGTATCTAAAAATTCCTTGTAGAAGCAAATAAAAACAATTACAGATACAAAAAATACGTCTTTCCAATCACCACAGATCCCTTAAGGATTCTATTGAACCAAAATATCAATATATTGTACAGGGTGTTAACAATGTGGACTTCAATCTAAAACTTTTTAATATAACTTTTGTTTTTCAAATGAAAGTACACAAGGTTACAAATTTGCAAGGTTACAAATTTGCAAGGTTACAAATTTGCATATACACTTTAAGCTGTGAAATGAACCGTTTTCAAATTATAATTTATTTTATTTAAAAATTTAAAAAAGTGCTACATTTTTTAAGGTGGCTCTGTAAGTCATGCCATGTTCACTTGATCATTTACCTAATTATGTCAAGGAAAGAATGTGATATTTACATGATGGAGCTCCAGTTCACCATACAGCTCAAATTCATGAGTACCTAAATAATTAATTTTCTGAGAGGTGGATAGGCAGAGGTGGACCTGTCTAGTGGCCACCTCGTTCACCCGATTTGACAAAAATGGATTTCTTTTTATGGGCTTAAGTCAAGAACGAAATTTGTAAAATAACTCCCAACTACAAAAGCTGACATGAAGTAACGAATCACAACTGTTTTTCGAAGCATTAATAATATTGTTTTGAACTGCGTTAGCGATTTATTTCAAAAACGTAGATATTAATAGTTGCTTAAATGTTAACGGAAAACATATTGAAAATTTATTTTAAAATATCACTGAAGATATGATTCAATATTTTTATTTTTATAGACGTATGCAGTTTTGTTGCATTTTTTGCTATGAAATTCCATGCATTTTATAAAACATTCCACTTTTCTTCATTGATTATGTCAATTATCATTAAATGTTGACACTTATTTAATGAATTCCATAACCACCTTACACAATGCAACAACTTTTTGGAATTTTTAAGCAAAATAATTCATAATTTTAAAACGGTTGATTTCACAGGTTAAAGAGTAAATGCAATTTTGTAACTTTGTAAATTGTCTATCTAATGACGTATTAATATACAGGTACTTCCATTTGAAAAACGAAAGTTTTTTTTCCGGTTAGGTTTGGAAAATGCTGTTTTATGCACTCCCAGAGCTGGTGGTCTGTCGCTCTGGGTTGTGTGGTACCTACTCCAGCTAAGCTGTTTACGCACTAGAATCCTTTGCTCACCGCCGAGGTGGTGTTTGGCCTTGCACCACGGTCATTTCTGTCTTATTGTGCTCTCGTAATTTTACTCCCTCATTATCCCTGTATATTCAATGAATTCAAGATATTTAATAGTGTCAGACATGTGTATATTGTTCCCATATATAGACATTTGTCTTAGGGCTCTTAAGATCTCTCTTCCTTGTGAAAGCGATAATAGATGTCTTGGATGGGCTAATTTTCAGCCCTTCCGTGTTACCCCATTGTTCGGTGATGTTTAGCGCCTGCTGCATCAATGATGATACAGTGTCTCCAAACTTTCCCTGTACAGCAATGGAGATATCATCCGCATATCCCAGT